CCAGTTATTGACCTTTGGGAAAAAAAACTATATTCCAATATAAAATAAAAAGTTAAAAAAAGAAAGAAATAGAAGTATAGGCAAAAGGCCAATAAGAGGAAATGAAAATGAAATGTATAGCATATTGGATTAGTCCAAAAGAAGACTGGAAAAGAGGAGCATAGGGAAAAAAAACACAAAGAGACAACCAAAAAACAAGTAGCATTTTGGTGGACTTAAAATCAATAAGTATGTTAAGTACAAATGGACTAAACACACTAATTAAAAGGCTGAGCTTGTCAGACTGCATAAAAAGCAAGACCCAAATATGTTCAGTCTACAAGAGACACACTTTAAACATAAAGACACAGAGAAATAGAAATTAACACGTTAGGGCTCCCCTGGTGGCACAGTGGTTGAGAGTCCGCCTGCCAATGCAGGGGACACGGGTTTGTGCCCCAGTCCGGGAAGATCCCACATGCTGCGAAGAGGATGGGCCCGTGAGCCATGGCCGCTGAGCCTGCGCGTCCGGAGTCTGTGCTCCACAACGGGAGAGGCCACAGCAGTGAGAGGCCCGCGTACCGCAAACAAAAAAAAAAGAAATTAACACGTTAGAAAGCTATACCATGCAAGTAGTAAGATAAGAAAACTACTGTAACTATGTTGCTATTGTACAAAGTAGATTTTAAGAGAAAGATTATGATGAGAGATAAAGGGGGACTTTCAAGTGGTTAAATAATAAAAAATACATAAAATCCTTAACGTGTACGTACTTGTATTAGTTTCCTAGCGTTGCCATAACAAAGTACCACAGACTAGGAGACGTAAAACAAAAATTTATTCTCTCACAGTTCTAGAGGCTGGAAGTCTGAAATCAAGGTATCGGAGGGCCACGCTTCCTCTGGAATCTGTAGCAAAGGCTCCTTTCTTGCTTCTTCCTAGCTTATGAGGATTTTCTGGCAATCTTTGGTGTCCCTTGGCTTGCAGCTACAGCAGTTCAATCTCTGCCTTCAGTGTCATCTGAATTTGTCTTCACATGGCATTTTCCTATATCATGTTGAATTAGGGCCCACCGTAATGACCCCATCTTAATTGATTATACCTCCAAAACTGTATGTTCAAATCAGGAGTTAGGACTCCAACATATATTTTGCTTACGTTGGCTGCCAAAGCGTTAGAGCCACCCTATTTTGGGAGGATATAATTCAATGCATAATAGTACCTAATAATAAAGCTTCACAATACATGGGGGAAAAAAGGGACAAATACAAAGTGAGAAACAGACAAGTTCATTATCATATTGAAATTAACATCCTGCCAGTCTCAACATATTTCAAAAGACAAACATCTGAGATAGTAGAGCTGACTAAAATGGAATTATATTAGAAATTAATAACAATAAGATATACTGGAAAGCACTAGATAGTGGGAAATGAAGCCATATCTTTATAGGTAATTACAAAGAAATTACAAAGGAGAAATTATAAAGGAAATTAGAAAATATTTTGAATGAAATTGATAATGAAAACACTTATCAAAACTTGTGGAATATAACTAAAACAGTGCTTAGAGGGAGATTTATATTTTTAAACACCTATATTAGGCAAGAAGAAGGCTTAACAATAATGATCTGATGTTCCAGCTTAATAAACTTGAAAAAGAAAAGCAAATTAAACCAAAAGTAAATAGAAGGAAATAATAGATATGAGAAGAAATCAATGAAAAAAAGAGCAGACAGAGAAAATTAAAGCCAAAAGCTGGTTCTTTGAAAACATTAATAAAATAAATAATCTATTAGATGGATTAATCCAGAAAAAAGAAAGAAAACACAGATTACTTAAATCAGGAATGAAAGAGGGGTTACTACTACAGTGTCTACTGACATTAAAAGAGTAATATGGCAGAATAAGGACCCCTAAAAATTCTGCAAAAATTGTCAGGATCAACTTTTTCAGAACTCTGTAAATTAGCAAAAAGCTCGCAACAATTCAGAAAAATGCTTATTCAAAGAAAGTGGTTGAATCTTGGTAAGAACAGCAAGCTTTGTGGGGTTTTAACTTGACCTTTTCCCATTACCCCCACCCTAGCTCCATGGTAGTCTTAAAAACCAATAGTCTGCAAATAACTCCAAGCCCTTGGAAAACACTAGGAAACTTACTGGTTTTAGGCACTTAAGGAAATCCTTATCTAGTCATTAGCTGATCATGAAGCTAACCAAGCAGAGAGTTTAGAGAAACACATGATGAAGAATACTCACTTTACGGAATTAATTCAGAAAAGTCACTAAACAAATAACAACAACAAACCCTAGGAAGGGGGGAATCTGGTGTCCACAGTGCCACATTGTATTATTTTAAATGTCCATGTCCAGCTTTGAACAAAAAATTGATGACAATTGGTGATACATACAAAGAAACAAGAAAACATGGCTCATATAAGAAAAAAAAAAATCAACAGAAACTGTCCCTGAGTAGGCACAGATGTTGGACTTTCTAGACAAATATTTTACAACAGTTATTTTAAATATGTTCCAAGAACATGAGGAAATCATGTCTAAAGAAATAAAGGAAAGCATGAGAATGATGTCTCTTTAAATAGAGTATCAGTAAGGAAATAGAAATTATTATTATTTTTTAAAAAGAACCAAATGGAAATTCTGGAGTTGAAAAGTACAATAACTGAAATGAAAAATTCACTAGAGGGGCTCAACAGCAGATTTGATCAGGCAGAAGAGAGGAATCATGAATCAGGACATAGATCAATTGAGATGATTCAGTCTGTGAATCAGAAAAGAAAAAGAATAAAGAAAAATGAACAGAGCCTCAAACACCTGTGAGACATCAACAAGCTCACCAACATACACATGATGGGAGTTCCTAAATGAGAGGAGAGGAAGGAGGGCAGAAAGAAAATTGGAAGAAATAACAAAGGAATAAAAAGAGTATATTAGAAAATATTTAACACAGAAGAAGGCAGTAATGGAGAAATTGAAGAGCAAAAAAGATATATAACATAAAAATAGGTAGTGAATGGCAAATGTAAATCCTACTTCTTAGTAATTTAATGTAAATGGATTAGATGCTCCAATTAAAAGGCAGAGACTGGCAGAATGCACAAAAAACATGATCTGACTACATTCTGTCCACAAGAACCACACTTTAGTTTCAAAGACACCAATAGGTTGAAAGTAAAAGGAGACACCATGCAAATAGTAACCAATAAGAAGATAGACCACATTTGGGTCTCAATAAATTTAAAGGATTGAAATAATACAAAGTATATTCTCTAACCACAGTGGAATGTATTTAGGTAGGTCTTAGTAAATATCTACTGCATAGAATTCGATAAACATAAAGTATGCCCCTCCTAGTGTTCTTCACTGGCTAACCAGCCTTTTTAAACTTCTCTGCCTGGAAGGAGAGTTCTACAAGCCTTCTGGCATGAGTCAGGTCACCTCGCACACAAGAGCTAGGTCAGAGGGGATCTCTTAGTGTTCATTTCCTGGAAACTGCTCCCCATGGAGGCGGGGCAGCATTTTATAGTAGGAAATGCTTTGCTTCTGTAATCACATAGTCTGGATGCCAATAACCATTACCTTAGACAAGTTATTTAGTTTCTCTAAGTCTCAGTTTTCTCATTTGTGCCATGAGATAACTATACCTCAAAGATTTAGTGGGAGAATTAAATGAGGTACCAAATAGCTAAATACATAAATCTTAATTTCCTACCCTCCTCATTCTTCTGTCTTCCTTCTTCTCATGCAAATAACAACGCAATATGAAAGAGAAGAAATGGGGTAAAGAGTCCTGGAGGAATAGAATTACTATTATTATATTACTATAGTAATTACTATTACTGTTACTATTACTACAGGAAAAGCGGGAATTAGAATATTAAATAAAGCAATCCTGAGCTAGTAGCCTAGTCCTATTTTGTATAAAATACGTGACCCTCATCTGTAAAATGATATAATGACTTCTGTCTTGTAGTGCTTACAAGGATTATAAGAGATTATAAGGATATCTATGACTTGTCTAGCACCCAGCAGGTGCCCAATAAATGGTAGTGATCACTATTAGCATTTACCTTGTCCTCCTTTTTGCTGCCCACCCTATCCCCAAAGCAAACTCCAGCTTATTCCTCCCAAAACACTTTCTCTTTGCTCCCCATCCCCTCTCTTGAACACTTCTCCCTTATTGTACACCCACTTTACCTGCACCCAGGCCAGAGCAGGGAGGGAAACAAAGCTAAAAATAAATGAAAGAAAATAAACCTAAATAAACAATTTTGAGAAAAATGTTTCAAAATTATATTTGTGTGTGTGTGTGCACGGGCAAGTGTGTATGTATGTGTGTGAGAGGAAAACTTTGTTAAACTGGGTTGAATCCGAACTCCAGTAAAGTAGAAATGGAAAATAAAATAAAATAAAAAGCATGTTATATCGGCGGCATGGAAAGAAATCACCAAGTTTAAGCCTGAGCGTGTGGGTGTGTGACCATGGGCTCCAGGCTGCAGAGATTGTAAGCCGATACGCCAGCGCCCAGGACCAGGGAAGAGAAAGGAAGGATTTAAAAAAAAAAAAAAAAAGGCAGTCAGTCGTTTACTGTTCCTGCAGTTATTTTTTTAAGACCCTGTCCTGATAAGACAGCCTTGCTCGCGGGGGCGGTGCGGACAACTCCTGTCCGGATGAGTTCTCCGAAGGAAGGTACCTGCTGCAGGGGCTTCTGTGCAGTAGTCCCCTCACTCCCGGGATCCGGGGTTCACCACGCGAGGCGTCAGTTTCCTCATCCGCAGAGTGGCCGCAAGAACCCCCTGGTGGTCGAGAGGCTCGTCTGAAACCCCGAGCCCAGCGCCCCGCACCCAACCCCCGGAAACCACCGGGGTACGAACGTCGCAACTCGCACGTCAGCAACCCCGGGGGCCCCGCGCGGCCCGCCCCACCCCCCACGCTCCCCGCCTGCCCCACGTGACTTCCCGAAAGGCCCGGGGACCGCCCCTCCCACAGATCAGTTTCGTTTCCTTGGCGGCCTCCGGGCGATAGTGCAGCAGTCGCGGCCGTGGTTCCAGCGCGTCTCGTCGGGTTCCCCCAGGAGCGCCATGGCGGAGCTGTGTCCCCTGGCCGAAGAGCTGTCGTGCTCCATCTGTCTGGAGCCCTTCAAGGGGCCGGTCACCACGCCCTGCGGCCACAACTTCTGCGGGTCGTGCCTGGACCAGACGTGGGCCGTCCAGGGCCCGCCGTACCTATGCCCGCAGTGCCGCACCGGCTTCCAGACGCGGCCACAGCTGCACAAGAACACGGTGTTGTGTGCGGTGGTGGAGCAGTTCCTGCAGGCCGAGCAGGTCCATCCCGAGCTCCCCGACGACTGGACGCCGCCCACCCGGGCCGCCGCCCCCAACCCGGCCGGCCAGGTGGCTTGCGACCACTGCCTGCAGGCGACCGCCGTCAAGACGTGCCTGGTGTGCACGGCCTCCTTCTGCCAGGAGCACCTGCGGCCGCATCTCGACAGCCCCGCCTTCCGGGACCACCCGCTGCAGCCGCCCATCCGTGACCTGATGCGCCGCAAGTGCCCCCAGCACAACCGGCTGCGGGACTTCTTCTGCCCTGAGCACGGCGAGTGCATCTGCCACATCTGCGTGGTGGAGCACAAGACCTGCTCGCCTGCGTCCCTGAGTCAGGCCAGCACTGACCTGGAGGTAGGGGTTGGCGGATGAGGGCCCAGAGGGGCAGCCTGGGCCTGCTGGGTTGTGCAGAGGGTACCACTGTGGGCATCTTGGCCTACTTGGATCACCTGGGTGCGGGGGATGGGCCTCGCTGGGCCTGAGATCAGGGCAGGGGCATCCCCAGGGTCCAGGTAGAAAGGGGCTGGGAGAACATACAGCCCTTCTGGATCATTCCTGGTCCACCTTCTCTGCCCCCACCCCTCTCACCCATTATACGGAGGGACATTGCTTGCCTTAAGCCTAGCACTTGTCTGACATGTTTAGTACAGGGTTTTGAACATCAGATATGAGCGCTAGGGGTTACCTCTGTTCTCTCAATAAATCCGGGTAGCACCCGGGAGGTGGGTATAATTAGTTATTTACAGCTGAGGAAATGGAGGTTCAGAGAAGTTAATTTAACCTGAGCTAACCCAAGTGGGCATTGGGCCCCCAGCTGGTCTGACTCCACATTTGCTGTTTCTCCCTATGGACCAGCCTCAAAGCCAAGTCCACAGAGTTCAGAGCATAGGACATTCCTGAGGTCATGTGAGAAAAAGCCTTTGGTGAGCCAGAGACTTCCAGCGACCAGGGAGGACGGTTATGGGTGGGAGGGTGGGCAGAGTCCCAGGAATCCCTGGATAGGATGCACAGCCAAACTCCTGCACCATAGCGCCCTATATACTTCCTGTGCCACTTTAAAGCACAGGATTGGCCCTCATCAGTAAAGTGAGGAGGTGGGACTGGGTGGATTCATTCCTAAGGGGCCTTCTGGGTCTGTGATGATTTCAGTGGTTTGGGGATCATAATTTCCCCCTGTGGACTCCAGGCAGAGGCTGAAAAGGTGTAGTCTAACTACCTTTCATTGTATCAGTCTGAGCTCCAGAGTGAAGCCTGATTTCCTTTCACTCTGGCAGTGCTGTCAGGGAGAACAAGGGCTGTCCTCGTATCATCAAAGGAGACATGAGGCCTGTGGGAGGTTTGCAGTGGCGCCAGGGCCAGGGTGAAGGCTTTGCTCCCGTCCGGGCACGGCTCCTCCCTAGCCTGGTCTGCTTCTCCAGTCTGAGCAGGGTTTCTGTGTACTTCCTCCCTGAGTCCCAGAAGTCAGACCTCAGGCAGTGCCTGACAGTTGACTTTGGAGGTACCACCATCTCAGGCCCAGACTACCTGGGTCTCCACCTGTTGCAGGAAGGAACCTGCCTGGCCTGCGGAGGCTGGAGCCCTGCTCTGCCCCGCATCCGCTGTGGTTCAGGGCAAGACTCTGAGTTCTCTGAACCTTATCTTCATCCATAAAATGGGATTAATAGCATTCCCTCCCCACCTCCAAGGGTGACCAGGAGGCTCCGAAGGGATGAATTGTGTGGGAAGTGCCTCATGGGCAGGCCCCAGGGTCAGGCTGGTTGACACAGGCTCTGACCAGAGCTGGATGTTGAGATCTGGGTTTGAATTCTGGCTCTGCTTCCTAGCCAGGAACTCAGAAAAGGGGCACAATAATAGTACCTATCTCAGAAGGTTACTGGGAAGATTAAATGAGGTGTTCCATAAATGGCGTTTTACAGTTCGCTAATGCTCCATAGAAGTGCCACTATCATTTCTGTTACTCAGAAATTCCCTGAGGAGAGTTTGCTGCATGGAGGGTGTTAGGCTGCCCAGCTCTTCTTTGCCTCAGGATGCATGGCTCTGAGGACTAGGGCAGCCTGGCTCCTATCGAAAGACCCTTCTAGAAGTTCTTATCCAGGAGGCTGAAGGCAAGTAGGGGCAGAAGGACCCATTTCCGCCTGGTCTGGAGCCCCAGCTCCCTCTCAGCCTCCAGGACCTGGAGCTGGAGTCTGCGCCCAGATTATTTGTATGCCATACACACTGAGCTTTTTAATCCTTTTAACAAGGCTTTCCTGCCATCTCTCCCCTTCCCCTCGTTGTCCTGGCTTGCTCAGTCCTTTAACCTGTCTCCTTTTCCAGCCCTGCTGCTGGTCAGTACTGGTGGCAGAGCCAGCCCAGCTTGGCCCGGTCACTGGTGTGGGGTGGACTCAGGACTCCGGTGCCTCCCATGTGGAGGACCCAAGTCCCCAGTCTGTGAACCCCACTGTTAGAGACCAGGTCAAAGGGCATTGTCACAGAGGTCACATCTGAAACGCTATCAATGACTTGGGCTTTTGGGGTTGAGTTAGTGTGGCCTTGGTCTCTGCTTCTAGCCTTTACATGTGACTCTTCTCTGGGTGGTTCAAATCCAGAGTCAAGGTCAGTGGTTGGAGTGGGAGAGGCAGGGAAGAGGAAGGGAGGGCCAGAGTATTGTTGAGCCAACTAGTTAGGGGACATACATTTTTTTCTAGAATTTTCCTGTGTGCTCAGTTTGGACACAAGTCTGTAATTGTAACACCAGGATCTTGTAGCACTAGTTAATGGCGATGTGACCTAGGGCAAGCCACTTAATTGCTCTGTGCTTCAGTGACCTCATCTGTAAAGGGGGGATAACCCTCTACCTCCTAGCGTTGCTTTTTGCTTTTAGTTAATACATGGAAAGCACTAGAACAATGCCTGGCTTGGAGTAAGTACATGATAAACACTAGCTCCCATTATGGTAGTGGTGGTGGTGATTTTCCTACCCATTTCTATGCCCCAACATTTCACCTGAGTAGGGTGAAATTGGATATTGATTATGAAAATTTATGGCAATACTAAGAGGCCTTGGGTGATATTAGCTTCCACTGTGCATAATTTACCTTTGTATCTGAAGGCTAGGGGCCTAGCAATTCTGAATCACCTTAGTTCAGTTTCAGGGACTGAACTGTCGATGGCTGGTTTACTGCTGGTTCGTCCCTATCCTAGGGTTTAGCCCTTGGAGGTCGCTGCCTGTGGGGCTTATCAAGTGAGCCTTGGACTCTGATCTTTGTCCACCTGCCTCTCCGAGGCTGACAGAGGCCCTCCCAGCTGTCTTCCGGAACTGGCAGATGGCTCTGGGAGAACAACCCCCGATGCCAGGCTTATCTCTCTGGGTTTCCTTCTTCTGGATCTTAATTACATAATCCTTCCCTCCTTTCTTAGCTCCCTATTGGTTTTTAATAGATCCCCCTCCCCCAATATTTTGTCTGCTTTTCTGGTTGTTTGCAGTGGGAGGCTTGGTTTGTACAACCCCGCCTGCCACTTTCTGAAGCAGCTGCCCCAGCTCGTTCTGTCTGTGTGAGCTTGACCACCTTGCTGTCCTCTTTGCCTCAGTTTCATCATCTATAAAATGGGTGCTAGTGAAGAAGCTCATAATAATCCAAGCTGAAGTTTACTAAGGCCATTTGTCCTGACTAAGATCCAGGCACTATGCTGAGGACTTAACACTGCTTCAGTTAATTCTCCTTCTAGCCCCGCGGGGTGGGAACAGTTGCGTTGATATCTATTTCATGGCCAAAGAAACAAGTGAGAGACAGCTGAAGAGCTGGGTATTGAGTCTTGTCTGTCTGGCTCCAAATCCTATCCTTGTAACTTCTTTACTGTCCAGTTCCCCTGAAAGGATGAAGGGAGGCAGTAAATATGAGAATGCTTCAAAAAGCTACAAGCAGGGACTTTCCTGGCTGTCCAGTGGTTAAGACTTCACCTTTCAGTACAGAGGGGAGCTAAGATCCCACGTGCCTCGTGGCCAAAAAACCAAAACATAAAACAGAAGCAATATTGTAACAAATTCAATAAAAACTTTAAAAATGGTCCACATCAAAAAAAACAAACTTAATAAAAAAAAAGCTACAAGCAGGTGAGACTTGGGGTGGTGGAAACACCTGTGGGATAGACTTGAGGGCAGTCGCTGGTGTTGGGTGCTGGTGGGGGGCTGGATGGGGTATTTTCTCACTCGGTTTGTTTTCTCCGCAGAACAAGTTGAGGCATAAACTGACTGTCACGTACAGTCAGATCAACGGGGCGTCGAGAGCACTGGAGGACGTGAGAGCCAGGCAGCAGGACGTGCGGGTGAGAGACAGGGCTCCCCGCCACCAGCCTGGCCCTGGAGCCTCCCTTCACCTCTGGGGAGGGCAAGGCTTGTGTCAGGTTCACTCACAGTGTCAGAATTCAACTTCAGCCTTGCAGAACATGCAAAAAGCTATGTGCCCAGAGAGATCCTTTACAGACTCAAAGCCTACCTACAAGCCCAGCCATTAAAAATTAGGGTTAAAATATAGTAATATAAAAAGTGGTTATGATTTAAGGGGGAGAAAAACAGGAAGTAAAAGTTGCATCTATTTATTTTTAAAAAGTGTATTTGTTTCTAGGGCGACTGTAACAGGTTACTGCAGACTTGGCTTACAACAACAGAAATGTGGTCTCCCACAGTTCTGGAGGCCAGAAGTCCAAATTCAAAGTGTCGACAGGGCCACACTCTTTCCGCAGGTTCTGGGGAAGAATCCTTCCTTGCCTCTTCCAGCCTCTTGTGGCTCAGGTATTCCTTGGCTTGTGGCTGCATCACTCCAATCTCTGCCCCTATCTTCACATGGCCTCCTCCATCTTCTCCTCTTTTGTCTCTAATAAGGACACTTGCTATTGGATTAGAGCTCACCTGGGTAATCCAGGATGATCTCATCTCAAGATTCCTACCCAAATTACATCTGCAAAGACTCATTTTCTAAGTAAGTTCTGAAACGTGGACATATCTTTTGAGGGGCTGCCATTCAACCCATTACAGGAAGTATAGGAAAAAAGACTGGAAGGAAATATAATAAAGGAATAGTAGTGCAAGTGTTGGAGTGGTAGAATTAGGGATATTTTTTTCCCTCTAGTTTTTTTACAGTTTTTATAAGGTTACAATGCTTTTATATTGAAAGAAGATTTGATTTTTAAGCATCCTGGTCTGGAGCTACAGCATTCAGTTTTATTGCCACAGCTGTGGCTTAATTAGATGAAATCTGGGTTAGAATACTAGCCTGTGTTGGCAGATCTCTGAGCCTTAGTTTTGAAGCAATCACAACTTCTTTCCAGAGGTGAGTTATGAGGCTTAAATGAAAGGATGCACATGAAAATACCTGTATCAGTGGGGGGGGGGCAGGCTAAACTGCTGTAACAGAGATACCCCTCAAAATCAGAGGTTTAAATAAGATAGCCGTTTATTTTGCTCCCTGCGAAAGTTCAGGTGAAGAACCCAGGCTAGTGGGACCTGAGCAACCCAGGCTACTGGGATGGCTCTGCTCCATGTGATCCTTCAGAGTTCAGAGTTCTTTCCTTTTTATTGCCCTTCCTCATCTCTGTGGTTGCAGCTGGGTCACCATTACATCTTTGCTGTAGCCTGTGAGAAGGGGGAAGGAGAGTGTTGCCATTATCACTTTTGCTCCTGTTGTGAGCAGCTTAGTCACATGACCAAGCCCAGCTGCAGGGGATGCTGGGAAATGTAGTCTGTGGCTGGGCAGCCACGTGCTGGTCTAAACTCCAGGGGTGTTCTCTTATTGACGGGAGCAGAAGGAGGATGAATACTCAGGGACATTGGTAGTCACATTGGAGGTGGCAGGGTTAAAGAAATAATTGAATTCCTGGGACTTCCCTGGTGGTCCAGTGGTTAAGACTCCGTGCTTCCACTGCAGGGGGCACGGGTTCAATCCCCGGTCGGGGAACTAAGATGCCATATGCTGCGCAGTGTGGCCAAAAAAGAAAGAAAAAGAAATAATTGAGTTCCAATCTTCCTGTCCCTCTTATGTGTGTTTCTGTCACGTTTGATCCTGAGCTATTGAGGTTTCCCAACATGTAAAGCGAAACTGCAGCTTCTAGAGCAGTGCTGTCCCCTAGAAATATAAAGTGAGCCTTATACTGTATATAACTCTAATTTGAATAACACATGAAATTAATTTTAATAATATATTTTATTTAACTCAGTATATCCAAAATATTATTTTAATCAGTATAAAGTGTTAATGAGATATTTCAAATTCCTTTTATTTTACACTTATAGCACATCTTAACTTGGACTAGCCATAGTTCAAATGCTCTGTAGCTACATGTAGCAAGTAGCTATGGTATTAGATAGCGCAGTTCTAGAGGAAATTTTCTAGAGCAGCTTCATACCCTTTAAAAAATTACTCATGAACTGCTTTCCAGCTTAAGAAATAAAATATCGCCATGGAAGATGAAGCCCCTGCTTTGCTTCTCCCTTTTTATATCCCCCTTCCTCTCTTCCAGAAGTAACCACTATCCTGAATTTATCCATTCCCATGTGTTTCTTTATACTTGTAATATGTACGTATGTATTCCTTTGACAATAGATACTACCATTCTGTTTGTTTCTAACCTTTATGTAAGGAGCATCATATTGTATGTCTTCTTCTACAAGTTGTTTTTCCCTTATTACTGTTTAATATTCCATCCTGTGAATAATTTTCCGTCTTCTATTGATAGACATTCAGGTTGTTTCCAGGGTTTTGCTAATTCAAACAGTGCTGCTTAGAGCATTCTTGTGTGTCTCTTGGGCAGGTTCTGAGATTTTTTTCTTTATTTATTTACTTGGTTGCATGGGGTCTTAGTGGCTGCAGGTGGGCTCCTTAGTTGCGGCTCCAGGACTCCTTAGTTGTGGCTCGCCAGCTCCTTAGTTGCGGTACGTGGGCTCCTAACTTGCGGTTCGCGGGCTTCTTAGTGGTGGCATGAGAACTCTTAGTTCCAGCATGCATGTGGGATCTAGTTCCCTGACCAGGGATTGCACGCAGGCCCCCTGCATTGGGAGCACGGGGTCTTATCCACTGCGCCACCAGGGAAGTCTCCAGATTTTTTCTAGAGTATATTCCTAGATTGAGTTGCTGGTCAAAGGGTATGAGCACCTTCAAATACACCAGATCTTGCTCTCCAAAGTGGTTGCATCCCTTTGTATTCCCAGGAAGTATAGGTAAGAGCTCCTGGCGCTCCGTGTCTCAAGCTTAGCTTTTTTGCCAGTCTGATGGATGCCCTCTTGTTTTGGCTTCTCAGGAGGTTGCACACAGGAAGATAGACCAGCTTAGACAAGAATACACGGAAATGAAGGCTCTCATTGATGCCTCAGAGGCCAGCTCCACACGAAAGATAAAGGAAGAGGAGAAGAGGGTCAACAGCAAGTTTGACAACATTTATCAGATCCTCCTCAAGAAGAAGAGTGAGATCCAGACCCTGAAGGAAGAGATTGAACTTGCCCTGACTAAGGGGGACGAGTATGAGTTTCTGGAGGTGGGTCAAGATGAGGGCGTTGAATACTCTTTCTGCCTAGCGTCATGATGTTGACTGTGGGTGCGTTGGGGCCCTCGAGGAGCTGAGGCTGTATGAGGTCATGGGAAGCATCCCTGAGACACATGCTCTGTTAGTTTTCTGCATTTCATGACAACTTACCACAAACTGAGTGGCTTAGAAGAACATCTATCTGTTATCTCACACTTTCTGTGGCTCAGGGCATGGCTGAGGTCTCACCAGGCTACATTCCTTTTGGAGCTCAAGGTTGTCTTCCAAGCTCACATTCTTGTTGGCAGAATTCAGTCCCTTGTGGTGCAGGACTGGGGTCCCCATGTCCTTGCTGGCTGTCAGCAGGGGCCACCCGCAGTTCCTAGAGGCTGCTGTGATTCCTCGCTGTGTGGCCCTCTTTCGAGTTGGCAGCCGGCTTCTTCAAAACCGGCAGAGAATTTCTCCCTCCCCGAAAGCCCAGTTCCTTTTTTAAGGACTTTTACCTGATTAAGTGAGGCCCACCTGGGAGAATCATCTTTTTGATTAATTCAAAACCAACAGATTCGGGATCTTAATTACATCTCAGTATTCCTTCAGTTTTCCCATGTAATGTAACCTAACCATGGAGTAATATCCTTTCATACTCAGTGTCATGCTCATACTCAGGAGGAGAGGATGTATAGGATGTGTACCCGGGGCAGGCAGGAGTCTTGGGGGCCATCTTAGCATGCTGCCTACTGCATAGGCCCCCACCGCTTCCCTCCATCCTGCCTCTGCACAGCCCCTGGAAGTGTCTCTCTAAAGCACAGGCACCACTCCCCGCCCTTTCTGATTTCACATTCCCACAGGACCTTGGTGACCAGCCTGCCTTTGCCAGCCACCCCCTGCCCATGCCCTGTGCTCTAACCACAGCAGAGCACTCCTCAGATGCACCGGGCATTGGGAAGGAATGCTGTGGCTGGCCTCTGCCTAGTAAACCCTGTCCTTTGTCCTCAGATCCCGTTATTCTGCCATTGCTGGCGATCCGGAGCATGTTACCTGCCTCTGCTCTTGCCCTCAACAACGTTGTTTTAGATGTCCTTGTTTTCATGTCTGTTTAAAAGGCTGTCAGGGGACCTCCCTGGTGGTCCAGTGGTTAAGACTCCGTGCTCCCAACGCAGGGGGTGTGGGTTCAATCCCTGGTCAGGGAACTAAGATCCCACATGCCGCACAGCGTGGCCAAAAAAAAAGAGAAAAAAACCAAAACGCTGTCAGCTCTTTTCGGGCGGGGCCCTTCATCCTCCTAGCATGTCCAGTGCACGGCAGAGTGTCTGGCACGCGGCAGATGTTCTGGGGTGGCCCGTTGATTGGGTGACGTGCTGCTTTGACACGTCCAAGGCCCAGATTCCATGTTCAGGTCCTGAGGAGGGACAGGAGTGCCTGGCAACCTTCTCTTCTCTGTTCAGGGTCTTCTGGCCACACCTAGGCTGGATGGCATTAAGTTTCATCTCACATGCTCATTCCTGTTTGTTGGCCTAGCCGCCTTGAGCTCTTACAGAAGGATTCCGAGTCCACATCTGGCCCTCTGGATACTGTATGACATGATTTGGTCTCCAGGTCTGGAACCTTCTGTAAGATCCTTCTTCTTCATTGGATATGTGGCTGAATCCTGCAGCCTTCCAGGCATTCCTGTCTATTTTCAGGACATGTGTTCAGAGCTGGTCCTTGCGGGATGGAGATGGTGATGAGTCTCCTGTACTTCTTCAGCCACAGCTGGAGGGGTGGAAGGAGCATTGTCCGTGGGGGTCAGGAGATCTGGGTCCCCGCTTTGTCCCTGCCACGAATTGGCAGAGGTCCTGGCAAGACACTTGTCATTTTTGACTTCAGTTTTCCCGTTTGTAAGGTGAGGGACCTCTGAGGGCCCTTCCAGCTCCAGATCGCTGTGTCTTGAAGTGGCACTTTAACCCCCAGTGACCTCTGGCTCTAATTTGAGAGGTTGATTAGACTTAGTGCCCATGGGCACAGGGAAGCTCCTTCTGGGGTTCATGAGGCCTGAGCCCAGGCCCTGGCTTCACCAGAGCTGCCTGAACTAACCCCCTGGCTTGTTGCAGAAAGCAGCAAAACTGCAAGGAATCACAACGAAGCCAGTCTATGTCCCCAAGGTGGAGCTGAATCACGAGCTGATAAAGGGTGTCTGTCAGGGCACCTCTGAGCTCAAAAATGAGCTGAAGCAGTACCTCAAACAGTTCCAGGACAAGAAGCCTGAGGAGCTCATCATCCCAGGTAACTATTAGCAACCTCCTATGCTTTCCACTGGGACCTCTGAAATGGGATGTGTCCCCTCAGTGTTTTGGGGTGGGAGAGAAATCCTGAACTGGAGCATTGGGACTTGAGTTTCGGGGGTTATAAAACATTTGCTCTCCATCTAGGAGGTAGTGGGGAGTTTCTGCCTCATCCTGAGATTGTAGCTGTCCTTCCTAAAATATTTTTGGGGGCTGGATGTTATGAAGGGTCTTTCTAGATAGGCTTTTTTTTGTGAGTCTGAGGTTGGCTCAGACGGGTTGAATGGATTCTGGGTTGTCAGTGTTATTTGGTAGGGAAGTGGCTAGTTTGGGGGTCAGAGAAACATGGAATTCCTCCTTGGTAATACCCCCTGCCCTTCCACGTACATCCAACCCATTGTCAGATTTTGCTTCTTAAACACCTCGTGCTTCAGTCAGCTGATTTCCCTGCCAGCCACCAGTCACCTGCTGTCCATTGCAATCACCCGTGGCAGCTTCCTAATGAGGCCCTCTGCATCCACTCCTGTTGCAGCTGGAGAGAGCTTTTCAGGATGCAAATCTGATTTCTTGGCACCTTCTCCCCTGCCTCCTGTTCAGAGACTTTCCATTGCTTTTAGATTGCAGACCAGACTCTTGACCCTGGCTGTCAGCCCCTGCCTGGTCAGGCCCCGTCTGGCTCTTTAGCCCTGAAGTTACCCCCTCCTCCCATACATCCCTCTACACTCTACAATTCTTCAAATATGTTAAGCTTAAAAAAAAAAAAAAAAAAAAGTTAAGCTTCCTGCCACAGGGCCTTTGTACATGCTCCTCCACTGCCTAGAGGGCTCAGACTCCAACATCTTCACCAGGTGACACCCTGTCACCCTTCAGAGGTCAGTTGAAACATTCCATTTCTCAGCAAACCTCCCCTGTCGCCACTCCTGCTCCTCAGACCAGGTTGCCGGGTCCTTATCATCCCTTGGGGCCCTTAGCGCATTTTACTCTTCCTTGCCATTCCCGTGTGTCTCCCCCACCAGACTGTGATCAGTGAGGGCAGGGGCTGGGTCTGTTTTCATCCAACACTCTCCCCAGCGCCCGGCACAGAGGGGAAAGCCATTGATGGATTAGCCCTGCATATTTGTTTTCCTGCTATGTCAGTGATCACTGGTCTGGGGACGGAGGGGTGAGAGGAACCAGAGGGAAAGGAGCTACCACGACATGCCAGACATCTTGATCTCACCACCACGAGCGAGGAGAGTCATCCCCGTCATACGTCGGAAGAAACCAAAGCTCACAGATGGTTCAGAGGTCATGGAGCTGGGTGCTGGTGGAGGAAAGACTGCACCCTGGCTGCATTTTAAGGCAGAGAAAAGAGGGAACACACCGAATTTGTCTTTCAGTTATCTTGTTTCTAGTGCTTGTAAATGATCGGATGGGGAAGGTCAGCGGAAATCAACTTTGTAAGCCCTCTCCCCGCCTGCCGACTGCGGGGCTGGCTCCTAGGCTTGGTTTGGAAGAGCCACATAGACTACCCTCTTCTTCTTTGGCACAGGGGTCCCTGGAGGACATGACCTGCCGCACATGCCGAAACCCCCACGGCCTATGAAGAAGACCCCAAGTAAGTAAAGTAACCCCACCTCTGTCCCTGGGGCCGCAGCGACTGTGGCAGGCGGTGCTCGGGCTGAGGCACTGGCAGGCGTCACGGCTCCTGTCCGTGGGGCACAGCCCATCCCAGGCTCCGCGGGGCCCGGGCGCACCTGGAGGCAAGTGCTGTCTGACCCCACTGAGGGGAGGTGGCAGGACTGTTGCAGGAGCCCTGCTGGCGCACGCGGGAGGACCGGCCATCAGCACTGGATGTTCTGACTGCCTGGAACAGCAAGATGACCGAAGCTGGCTTGTCTTGAGAAATACTTACGATGCCCGAGTTCTGGCATTTGGGGTGACCCCCTGAGCAGAGGCTGAGCCTCACCGTAGCCCAGTGCCGTTCAGCCTCGGGTTGGGATGTGTTTCTGCCATCACAGAGCTCTTCAACCTTTTTTCCCTGTTGCCCTCCTTTGCTCTTACCTCTCAGGCCCTTTTAGAAATTTTTTTCCTAATCACCCCCATCCATGAAATTTTAATACCGCACATATGATATATCTGTTTATATACTGTGCTTTTACACATAAAAAGAACAAGTTTTTTCCATCCTTCTCTCCCCCTCACCTCCTAAGAATCAATTTCTGCTCGCCCTTGGGGGCGAAATCACCCTGTTGAGATGGGGCTGGGGTGAAGAATGGTCCTCAGTTTCCTCATCTGTCAAATTTGGACCATAATGATGTCCACCTCATGGGATTATTGTGTGAGGTTCACATGGGACACTGATAGTGAAAGCTCTCTAAAGGACGGGCATATGTCACCGAACTGTTGGCCAAAAAGTCAGTGAGGACGGAGGAGGGCTGCCCCGCATTGGGTGGTTGGGATGAGAGAACTCCGGGCTGGTTTTTGTTGTTGTTTGCTTGGTGTTAGTGTTTAGTGGTTGTCTTTGGCAGACAAATGTGTGGTACCAGTTCCTGAGTGGAATGGGGTCGGGGACTGGGATGCCTGGGACAGGTGAGGAGGGAGCCATCAGCGGAGCCTGAAAACGTGGAAGGGCACCTTGTGTGAAGAGGGAGGTACTGTAAACCTGTGGCCTTCTCAAGGCACAGCTCCTGAAAGCCTCCTTCCCGCTGCCCCACTTCATAAGCCCCGCTCTTCATGTGAGTGAGCTGTTGGGGGCTGAGGCGGGGAAACAGGCAAGGAAGGGGTAGGCTCATCACTGTGGATGAGGCTCCTAAGAATCGTGATGACTGGGGAGGGGGCCCTTTGCCTGAGGCCAAGGTCATAGCCTGGGGTCCTGCCAAGATGCTGGTCCAGCGGCAGTGGGCAGGAGAGGAGCAGGGGGGAGATGGGAAGAGTGAGAACGACTCCCGAGAAATACGGCTCTGAAGCGGGAGGAACGGGGAGCCAGTGGGGCATGTGGGACCAGGGAGGGTCTGGTGGAGAGAGAGCAGGGCTGGTCTGGAATGTACAGGATCCTGCAGGCAGGCAGGGATGAGATCCAAAACCCCCCTTATCATTTCAGTGGTGGGGAAGGTGGCAGAAAGGGAACCTGAAATCTTCTAGTCTGCTCAAACTTGAGCCCTCATCGCAATCCCAGGGGCTTGTAAGAGACAGACTTCTGAGCCCCACCCCCAGACTCTCAGTTTCAGCTGGTCTGGGTGGGTCTGAGAATTTGCATCCCTACAGCTTCCCAGGTGATGCTGATGCTACTGGTTTGGGGACCACGCTTTGCGGACGGGTGTTTTAGCTAAACTCAGTTCCCACAGGCACACACTCGTGATACTTTCTAAAGACTATCGTGGTACTTGGCAAGCACATTTTTTTGGCTTGCTCCCTATGTGGGTCTTTTTTTGTGTTTGTTTTTGCATTTTTTCTTCTGCGGAGATATAATTTAATACTACAGTAAAATGCCCAGATCTTAAAAGTACAGTTAGATTAATTTTGACAAATGCACACATCTGTGTTACCATTACCCAAATCAGGATAAAGATTTCCATTATTCCAGGAAATTCGTTCATGCTGCTTTTTAGTGAGCCCCCTCCCTACCAAAACCATGATTCAGGTTTCTATCACCGTAGATTGATTTGCCTGTTGACCCCTTATATTTTTCAAGTTTAAAACATCCTAGCTTTATTTGTATGGGTCACATTAGTGCATTGATTGTTATTATGGTGTTTTGAAAGTGTCATTGTGTTTAAAATATGTTAATTCTGAAAATTTTCTTTTTCAGAAGAAGAAAAGAAACCCAAGAAACCTTGTAAGTTACGCATTTCTGCATCTTTTTGTTTCTTGAGTGCCTGAGTGTAGAACTGAATGCCAGCAGGGAAAGCTGAGCCATGGGGTTTGGGGGTCTGGGCTCTGTGACTGTGTCCCGTGCTGGCAGCCAGGCCTGGGCTTGGAGGTGGCAAGTGTAAATGCATAAGACCAATAGGATGAGTGTTGCCCTGTCTGGACTCATTTGTGTCGCCGTGGCTGTCCAGGTGTGTGTTTGTGGAAGCAGCTCTTGAGAATCAGCGTGGCAGGGAGTATAGGCCATCAGGTCACCCTGTCATGTCCCCAACTCATGCGTCTCCTCCCTCAGCCCCAATCATTGTCTCAGCCAGCAAGCTTCCCACCTTTGGAGCCCCAGAACATTTAGTGGATCTCAAACAAACTGGCCAGGAGGGTGAGTTCTGGTGGGCCAGGGGCAGTGGGCTGCCCACTCTGCATTTGTTCTGAAAACATCTCTCTCTTCTTCATCCAGCTGAGGCCAAAGTCCCCACCAGACCGTCGACCCCAGTGTCTCTCAAGGCCAAGGTGCTGGAGACCTTCCTCGCCAAGTCCAGGCCTGAGCTCCTGGAGTGTGAGTAGCTGCTGGCTTGCTTACCCTTGCCTCTGTCTAGCTTGGTCAGCCTCTCGCCTAGAGGGCCCACTGTGCTCTACTCTGTCACATCCTTACTTGCTCCCTTCTGGCTTCCAGCCCGGAAGTGGTGGGAGTTCCTTCCTCCGGGCCAGCCTAGGGGCCACCCGCCCGTAGCTTCACCCACAGAGCATCCTCCACTTGTGCTCACTTCCACGCAGTGGCCATAACCTCTCTCTGCGAAGTGCGCTCTGGCCCTCCTTTCCCCACAGCCACAGCAGGCTGGGTGGGGAGCAGTGGATGCCTGGTTCTCGGGCCGGCGCCCGAGAACCTCCCCCCACCCGCCCCCCATTTGTGGGGCCCCCTGCGCTCTGTGATACAGCCATGTAAGCAGAGGAAGTGAGTTCTAGGGACTTAGGATCTTAGAGGACATTTTCCCAGGCCATTCATTTTGCCCTGGGGGAAAACCAGAGCAAAGTATCCTTCCCTGAGCCCCCGAGCCAGGGAGTGGCAGATAACCCCAGTCCTGAATTCCCAGCTAGGGATTGTCCTTCTCTGCCTGCTGTCTCCCACTGGTCCAGGGTTCCGTGTGAGCAGAGGGGCAGAGATGGGTGTGTCCTGGGGAGGAGGTGGAGGGTGGGGACAGCACTCATCTCTGCTCAGTCTTCGGACTTGCCAGAACTGGCTGGAAGTGTGGCAGGAAGGGCGGGGAGGCCATGCTCGTGTCCCAACCAAGGAGTATATTCAGGTCATGGGTGTGTTTACAGACCTTGATTGGTTCCCCGTTGCAACCGATTCAAGTCTAGACCGCTTAGCTCTCTACTTGTGGCTCCATGTGTCCCTCTCCTCCTGCTGTGTCCTCTGTGCTTCCAGCTGCCCAGCCTTCCCTGGTCCCAGCACCTGTCCACCGTCCTCGTGACTCCACGTTTGCCTTCACTGTCCCCTCTGCCAAGCATAGCCTTCCTCCCTCCTCTGCTCTCCTCTGTTTAATTCTCCTCTTCCTGTCGCCAGCTCCAATTCTAGCCCACCTGTGAAGTGTCCCCCTGTGCCCTCCCCACCCTTTAGCCGTTGCCCCGTGGCTGTGTCCCTCCAGCAGTGTGCCTGCCCTTTAGCAGAGTGCAGGGCCCGTGGTGTTGTCATTACTGACGGGCTTGCCTTGCTTGTGGGAGTGTGAACTCCACGAGGCCAGGCACCATGTCTGGTTCATGGTTGTACATCCTGCATAGAATCTGGCATAAGCCAGGGGCTCAATAAATGGTCTTAGATGGAGGAATAGACAGAGAGATGGGTGACTAATAGATGCACAGATGGCTGGATTGATGGATAGAGAGATGGACAAATGTCCGCCCGGCTAGACAGAATGGATGGATGGATGAAACAAATGAATAAATAGGACCAGTTAGGAAAAGGATTGAAAGTGAGAGCATTTTGGGCTCCTTGTAACTGGCTCCTTGGTGCTCCCTTAGATGCTGTTAAAGTCATCCTGGACTACAACACTGCCCACAGCAAGGTGACTCTGTCCGAGAACTACACCGTAGCTTCTGTGGCTGACGTACCCCAAAACTACCGACCACATCCCCAGAGGTTCACATACTGCTCTCAGGTGTTGGGCCTGCACTGCTACAAGAAAGGGATCCACTACTGGGAGGTGGAGCTGCAGAAGAACAACTTCTGTGGGGTGGGCGTCTGCTATGGCAGCATGGAACGGCAGGGCCCCGAGAGCCGGCTTGGCCGCAACAGTGCCTCTTGGTGTGTAGAGTGGTTCAATACCAAGATTTCTGCCTGGCACAACGACGTGCAGAAAACCCTGCCCTCCACGAAGGCCTCGCGAGTGGGCGTGCTCCTCAACTGCGACCACGGCTTTGTCATCTTCTTCGCCGTGGCTGACAAGGTCCACCTGTTGTATAAGTACAAGGTGGACTTTGCTGAAGCTCTGTACCCGGCCTTCTGGCTGTTCGCCACAGGCGCCACGCTCTCCATCTGCTCCTCCAAGTAGGTGGGCTGTGGACGCTTGGGCTGACTGCCTGTGCAGTGCCTGGGACTCTAGTGAAAATGCTGTATGTAGGTGGAGCTCTCAGGGAGGTTCCTGAGAGTCCCCAAGGGCTGAAAGGATGGGAGGGGAGCTGGTGAGGGTGGGAGGATAGGGAGATGGGCTAAGAGGATGGGTTTGGCCAGGGAAAGGGATGGGGTGATTGCGTTATGGGTGAGGAAGCCTTTCTGCCTTCTGCTGCCCATCAGGCAGGATGACCCCCTCCCCTTGTTCTGGTAGATCTCCAGGCTGCCCGGTGGCCGGGTGCGGCTTTGCGGAGTGAAATCCTTAGTGCCCCTCTGCTCTTGGACATAATCTATAGCCACTGTGGGTTCTTCCTTAGGCCTCTGGTGTCTGCCTCTCTGCTGTCTGGGGTAGCCTTCAAATCTTGAACTTTTGATGATTCTCTACAGAGCTACTTAACTCTATAGATTTTTTTAAAAATTCCAAAGTCATTGAATTTCATTATTACTCACCCCCCACTACCTACATGTGGGAGTTGGGGTGAATGCTCAGACCTCTGGTTATTTTCTGTGCTTGAGGGAAGCTGCGCACAACAGGTCTCCACCCAGACCAGAGTTTCCCAAAGAAGTATGTCCTTTTCCTCCACTGTTTCCCTTTCTGTCTTGGACCTCAACACCCCATCCATGGTTTTGAAATGTTTAGTCCAACAGGACCCTTTTCAGTCTAAGATTTCAAACCATAATCTGAATCAGCCTGTTTTGGATTTGTGATTCAGGGTCAAGGTGACCCAGGTCCCATGTGGCGAGAAACCCCTCCCACTCTCATGTATTATGAAAGGCATCTCAGCAGAGATGCCTTGGTTGCAACTACGGAGCCTTCTTCCCCTAGCCCAGGCTTTGGGGCAAGGCTCTTCACCAGGCAAGAGGGACCCTGACTGCGTTCACAGTTGGAGGTTTTCTTCTGATTGGAGCCTCTTGCCTTCTTACTGATCACCCTCCTCAGTGATAGCCTCTGTTCCCCAGGATTGTGAGATCCTGCACTGGCTGGTGGAGATACCACCGTGGCCAGCACAGTTGAACGTTCACCTAAGCCCGCTGTCAGGCAGACAGGCCAGGTGTGGCTACCTCGGGGACCATACTAGGTCACCTGCTGGGCTGACTACCTATGGCCAGAAGGGCCTTCTAGCAGATCCATGGGAAACAGCAACATTCCTGTTCAACCCGGCACTGGTCCTTGTGTGAGTTAGAGGCCTGTCACCAGCCCTAGCCCTTTCTACTTTCCTCCTCGTTTGAGCCAATTCCAGATGTAGGAATTGACCAGGCAAAGGGTCAGGAAGACTTAAGGACCAGGGAGGAAAGAAGCTGCCAGGCTTAAGCACAAGGAGCTATTTTTCCTGCAGTGTTTCTGTGCAGTGAAAATAACCCCAGTCCACTCAGGGCGGGAGCGAATGGATTCCTGGAATTTCCCAAGCTCCTTATATCCTGATATTGTCAGGATGTAAGTTCTGATCCCCAAAGTGAGAGAAATGTAACCTCTTGTGGTGAAATGTGTCCTGCTCTGGGCTTTGCCAAGAGGAGAGCTGAGGTCAGGCTCCTTGTGGTATGAAAAGGATAATAATACCACTGGAGACAGGGACCCCAGGCCTTTCCATATGGATGTTTGACAAGTTAGTGCTTCTGGAGCCTTGTGCTGGGCCCCCAGGGCACTCTAGTGAGGCCCAGAGCACTTGATATTTCTGACAGATGTGTTCATCTGTGTCCCCTCCCAACAAGAACTTCCACTTCCTTGGGAGAGAAATCATCTTTGTAGGGAAGATCCCCCTGCAATAGCTGAAATGTGGTTTTTAAAAGTTTGCTTTCTTTGCTCCTGGGAAGAAAAGTTCTTTGTTGATTCTTCTCTGCTTTTGGAGATGGTCCAAAGCATCTTCATTGATCTCCTGAAACAAACGCCTTGTTTGAAGCCAGTTTATACTCGGGAAACAGCTGGGTTTAGAGGAGAATGCCGAAGATTAAACCATGGGTCCTGCTTGGGCTCTTCTGCAGAAATGAGGGCAGCCAAGAGGGCTGTTCTCTGATGATCGATCATCCAGCTCAGGAAAGGGAAGCATGAGCCCCTGTGTTGATGAGAGGCAAGCAGGTAACCCAAGGTGAGCCCTGTGTGGGTTCTTTGCGTGAACTGAGGGGCATTCCGAACCATTCTGTTTCCAGTGGTGAGACTTTACATCTCCTCCCTTGACTTGCGGGGCCGGTGCCCGACACTAGCGTCCTAGAGTTGGGGGAAAGTTCGTGTTCATCTGACTTCCCGTTTTGCAAAGTAAGTCAGATGACTCCACTCACTGCTCTTGACATCCCATTATGGAGGAGGTGCCTCCTTAGATGCCCCTGGTACCCTGGGGGAAGGGTCAGAACTTCCCAGATACACAGACATAAAAACGCTCTCCCAACCTAGGTATCAGGGGCTGTCTCAGTCACTCTGGTGTGATAAACGAAAGGTCAGGGTCAAGTGTTTGTTATTTTTCAAGGGCTGATTGATTGGTTCTCCTGTTATAATTACTCTGAAATGGGTCTGTGATCTATACATAATACTGATACATTATTTCTTACCTTATTCTGCTCCACTGTATTGATTTTAAATAATTAGGAGTATTTAAGCTTATATTCTTGAGTTTATATTTTTAAGAGTTGATTCTTTCAGAGATAATAAGGGCTGTAGACACAGATCTTCTGAAACCCACGAGAAATACCAGAGCCAAGGCCCGCTGACATGCCTCAGAAGCTTTGAATGCAATAAAGCTGTGTGTGGTATTGTTTCACACATTGCAGTGTGTGTAGAAAGTGTTACTTATCTGTCATGCTGGAGTCAGCAAATGAGGTGTCCAAGGGCCTCTGGCTGCCCCCCACCCAGATGCCTGGGGGCTGAGATTTCAGCAGAACTATAGCCCATTTGAGGCTGTCATGGGTGTGGCAGCCACTCAGGAAGCTTTCGATGCAGAAATCTCAGCCAGATAAGATGTCCTTCTGGGCTTTGCATCAGGATGGGGGTGGGGAGGAAGGGGAGGGGTATGAGTGAAAAGGTAAATAAACCACAATGGGGTAATCAGGGAAACGGTGATGGAAGTGGGAGGGTTCATTGTATTATGCCTTCTATTGTTATCTCTGTTTGAAAATTTCTATAATAAAAAGTTTAAAAAATGAAACAAAAACCAGCCAGCAGTGGGCCCTGTTCACGGATTTTATCCTTGTTTGAAGAGAGGTAGGAGTTGTGGTTGGTGTGCATTTGAGGTTGTTGAATAATAATTTGACTGGCTGTTGTCTCTTGTTCCTGCTGGGGAGATACTAAATCCTTGGAATTTCCCCAGTAATAGGAGCGTCCTTATTATTCATGAGCCCCTTGGATCACACCTGAATTTATGCTAAGAAGTGAGATGACCCAGGATCGGGGCTGGTCGGCAGAGAGACCAGGCGTGAGATTAGAGGGTTGGTCTCCCTGAGCCAGCCTCACCCCCAGGAGGGGAGAGGGGCTGGAAATCGAGTTGAAATATGTGGTCAGTGATTCAATCAGTCGTGCCTGATAAAAGCTGGGCACCCCGAAGATCTGAAACAGGAGGGAAGGGGGCAGGGCACAACCTTTGAAAGAATGACATAGCCTGAGGACATGACATAAACTGATTAGAAGCAAATGAGTCCAAGCTGGAGGACAAGTCGACTTCCACTAGACGTTGTGCCTCAGTATACACTCTTCTTCTTTTTAAATGTATTAATTTTATTTATTGTTATTTTTGGCTGCGTTGGGTCTTTGTTGCTGCGCGCAGGCTTTCTCTAGTTGCGGCGAGCAGGGGCTACTCTTCGTTGCGGTGCGTGAGCTTCTCATTATGGTGGCTTCTCTTGTTGTGTAGCATGGGCTCTAGGTGCACGGGCTTCAATAGTTGTGGCACGTGGGCTCAGTGGTTGTGGCTCGTGGGCTCTAGAGCTCAGGCTCAGTAGTTGTGGCACATGGGCGTAGTTGCTCCACGGCATGTGGGATCTTCCTGGACCAGGGCTCGAACCCATGTCCCCTGCATTGGCAGGCGGATTCTTAACCACTGCGCCACCAGGGAAGCCCAGTATACGCTCTTTGTAACACATCAGCAAGCTAAATGACACAGCCACAGGCACCATGACAGTTCCAAGGCCCACCATAAGGATCAAAATGTGGGCGGTGGCCCAATTCCTGGAAATCCCCACCCCTTCCTGAAATAGCTGGAATACTCCTCCCGCTCATTAGCCTATGAAATCACCCACCCCTATAAAAACTGAGAACCCCATACCCTGGGGCTGCTCTCAGCTTCTGAGATGGCCCACACTCTGTCTGTGTAGTGTGTTTCTAAATAAATCCACTTCTTACCTATCACTTTGTCTCTCACTGAATTCTTTCTGCCACGAGACATCAAGAACCTGAGCTTCATTAAGTCCTGAAACCAGGTGTGTGATCTCAGTTGGAAGACGGTGGGTTTTGCCCGGGTTTGAGTCCCGGCATGTGGGTTCAAGTCCCAACCTGAGGTGCGTGGTTTCAGCTCCACTGAACACCCCGATTCCACAGGGAGAGGGACAGGAGCTATGGGTTGGTGTCCCTTCTGAACCTCACTCCATATGTCTCTTCATTTGGGCAGTCTTGATCTGTACCCTTTACAATGAAACTGTAATCATAAGTATAGCGATTTCCTGAGCTCTTTGAATTCGAGTAACACTTACACTGAAGCTGAGGGAGGTCATGTGCTATAGACCGGAGGTTGGTGCTGCCGCCCAATTCATATGTTGAAACCTCACCCCCAGTGTGGTGGTATTGGAGGTGATTAGAGGGTGGCGCCCTCATGAAAGGGGTTAGTGCCCTTATACGTGAGACCCCAGAGAGCTCCCTCACCCCTTCTGTCATGTCAGGACACAGCAAGAAGACAGCTGTCTCTCAACAAGGAAGCAGTTCCTTACCAGACACTGAACCTGCCAGCGCCTGCTTCTTGGACTTCAGCCTTCAGAGCTGTGAGAAATAAGTGTTTTTGTTTAAGCCACCCAGTTTATGGCATTTTTGTTATAGCAGACCAGACTAAGCCTTCTGGATGTGTGTGTAGCCAGTTGGTCAGAAGTGTGGGTGGCCTGGGGACCCCCTGAAGTGTGGCTGGGGTCTGAAGTGAGGGCAGTCTTGCTGGGACTGTGTCCTTTGGCCTGTGGAGCCTGACTCTGACGCCAGGGGTTATCAGCAGAATTGTACTGCAGGATGCCAGCTGGTGTCAGAGAGAGATGGCAGGACTTGCAAACTTTGAATAAGCCCTTGACCAACTTGTCAGAAGAAACTACACTGTTCTTTCTTTTTAAACATTTCTTATAGCAGGTTTATTTGCAAAAACTGGAAACAACCCAAGTGTCCATAAACAGGGTGAATAGATAAACAAATTTTGCTGTAGCCGTACAGTGGAAAACTGCTCAGCAGTATAAGGAAGGAACTATTGACGCACGTGAAAACATAGATAAATCTCAAAATAATTATGCTGACTGAAAAAAGCCAGACGTGAAAGAGTACATAGTGTATGATTGCATTTATGTAAAACTCTAGAAAATGCAAACTATCTATAGTGACAGAAAGCAGTTTAGGTATTGCCCTGGAAGGGGGGTGGGCAGGAGAGGCTGCAGGGAGGGATTATAATGAGGCATGAGGAAACTTAGGGGAAGATGGTTGTGTTCACTATCTTGATTAAGGTGATAGTTTCATGGGTATTTGCGTATGTCAAACCTTAAATTGTACAACTTAAATATATGCAGCTTACTGTGTCAATTATACCTCAATAAAGCTTTTTCTAATTTTAATTTTTTGATTGAAGTATAATCGTTAGCTCCAGGTGCACGATATGGTGATTCAATATTTCTATACATTACAAGATGATCACCACGTTAAGTCTAGTTACCACCTGTCACCATCAGTCTCCCTCACCTCTTTCATTCATCCCCACAACCCCCTCCCCTCTAGCAACCCCCTCCCCTCTGGCAACAACCTGTTTTGTTCTCTGTATCTATGAGTCTGTTTCTGTTTAAAACACATTGTTCTATATATGCAATCTAAAAAAAAAAAAAAAGGTTCTGGTGAACCTAGGGATTGGACAGGAATAAAGATGCAGCCGTAGAGAATGAACCTGATACGGGGAGGGGGAAGGGTAAGCTGGGACGAAGTGAGAGAGTGGCATGGACATATATCCACTACCAAATGTAAAATAGATAGCTGGTGGGAAGCAGCCGCATAGCACAGGGAGATCAGCTCGGTGCTTTGTGACCACCTAGAGAGGTGGGGTAGGGAGGGTGGGAGGGAGGGAGATGCAAGAGGGAGGGGATATGGGGATATATGTATATGTATAACTGATTCACTTTGTTATAAAGCAGAAACTAACACACCATTGTAAAGCAGTTATACTCCAATAAAGATGTTAGAAATATATATATAAAATAAAATAATAAAACAAAACACATTGTTCTTTCTTTTTTTTCTTTTTGGCCGCGCCTATTGGCTTGTGGGATTTTACTTCCCCAACCAGGGGTTGAACCCGGGCCTTTGGCAGTGAGAGCACCGAGTCCTAACCACTGGACCACCAGGGAATTCCCTAAAACACACTGCTCTTAAAGGAGCTTCGAAAGTTTCTTCTTTCCGACGCCAAGTCTCCAGGGCTTAAAGTCTTGGGATTTGCTCTCTCACCCCCACTCCTCTTGCAGCTTTCTCTTCCTCACTGTCCCTGTGCCCACAAAAATACTCAGGATGTCAGTTACAGAAGTGTCCTCCCATTCAGAGATGCCACTTAAACTGTCATGGGACACTCTTCTGTTCCAGTGAAAAGTTCAGGACAGTAACTTTAGACTCCTTAGTAAAGTACAGAAGGGTGGTGAGTGGTGTGTGTGTGTGTGTTTGTGTTTATGTGTGTTTATGTGTGTGTGTGTTTGTGTGTGTGTTTATGTGTGTGTGTGTGTTTATGTGTGTGTGTATGAGGGGCTAATTTCAAAGTCACCTGTGGTCAGGGAATGACTCATTTATTTTTCCTCGATTCTCTCATGGGTCTTCCAACTGTTTTCTCTCCAGTTCCCAGGTGGTCTTAAAAGGCCATTGCACCTTGATTAATGGGAGGCTCCCCAGCCTTTACTGACCCCGGGTGTTGGTCTCCCTGTCTTTTACTGTGGAACAATCTTAATGCGTATACTACAGGAAGACAC